GCTCCGGCCTGGCCATACATCTCTGTCCTCTGGCTCCCCTCCTCCACCTTCCCCTTGAACCCCCCACCCCCCAGGGAACCTTGCTCTCTGCTTTTCTGTGATTCCATTTTTGGTTTTAGTTGTAGGGTTACATTCCACTCATGAGACAGAAAAGACACCTGTTGTTTGAACAGAGAATCTTTTCTTTTTCCTTATTAATATTGCCTTTATTTTCACCACAAAGTTTTATAATTCCCATTGTACAAATTTTTCAACCTTTTTCTCAATTAACCCTTGCTTTATTTTTTAGTGCCTATTCGTTTACAAACTAGTGGGTTTCGTTATGACAGTCTCACACATCTATATAATGTATTTTCATCTTATTATTCAGCCATTAATAAGAACAAAATTATGTTTTTTGTAGGAAAATGGTTGGAATTGGAGGATTATCCTGTTCAGTGAAATAAGCCAGATATGAAAGACAAATATTTCATGTTTTCTCTCATACATAGAGTCTATACTGTAAGAGGAGAAAAAAGACTTGAGAGCAGAAGTGGGCTTATTTGGGAAGGGAAAAGGGACCCATGGACGAGAGATACATAAGAGAGGGTAATGTAGATTTGAATGAACAGAGAATCTTATGCAATGGACTATGAGCCTCCCGCAGTGCAGCCAGGAGGGAGAACACAGGGCTGAGGCCTAAGTGGGTCAGAAGAGGCTCCAGCACTGGGCCTCATTCTCCATGGTCTTGATGGACCATGCAGCTGGTTCTGGGAAGGCTTCAGAGCTCCTGACTGCTGCCACCAGAGCCAGCAACGCTGGGGTGGAGTGGTCAGGAGCAGGAAGAGAAGCAAGAACCAAAAACTGAAGAAGGAAACACACTGAAAGCAGGAAGCAAAGCAGGGGACAAGCAGGCACCGGACATAAGAAAAGGAGTGCTGCAGGGATGAGAAGCAAAGCCAGACAGGAAGCAAAGTAGGACAGGAAGTGAGGTAGGAAAAGAAAGTGAAGCAGGAACAGAAAGTCAAACAGGACAGGCAATGAAGCAGGAACAAGCAAAGTCTCAGGACAGGAAGTGAGCCAAGAAGGGGAAGTGAAGGACAGATGGTGATTAGGCACAGGAAGTGATGCATGAGGGGTGTCTGACCCCCTCTGCCCTCTCCACAACTACCATCCCTCCTGCATCACCAGCATCTCCACTTAGCTGCCTCAGAAACCTCCTAAGAGTGTTCTCTCCTTGCTCTCCCACAGACAGACCAACACAGGACTCAGGCCAAGGCCTTTTAGCTATGAGTGGATCATCTGTCAGTCAGAGGTGATGGCCTCACCTGGGTCCTCACCTTCCACCAAGTACACTCACTGCGTTCCTGTTCTGACCACCCCTGCATTACACTGACACTGGCATCCTTGTGCACTTGAGCCCACTAAGCATGTACCCACCCCAGGACCTTTGCACACACTGACTCCTCAGCCTGGAGCTACTCCACTGTACCACACCCTCACCTCTTTCCTATACTCACACAAATGTTAACTTTTATGAGATATTCCCCCAGAGAACAGCATGCATTACAAACCCAGCATTCCCATCTAAGGATGTATTTTTCTCTAGATGCCCCCTCTGAGAGGAATTTTTCTCCAAACTTTCCTCACCTCATAGCATACAATGGAACTTACTGTGTGCTGTGTGCCCCTCTCCTCTGGACCACAGGCCCTAGGGCCTAGAACTTTACCTGAGTGCTTTTTTGCAGTGTCCAGCATGGTGGGCCTGCTGGGTTTACAGATGGTGCTGTACAGATATCTGTGAAATGAGAGCTGCTCGAAAAGAACAGGGAGACGCATATTTCCTTGTAGAAGAGCAGAATTTTGTGGTGTGCTTCATTAAGATGCACAGAGAAGCCAGTGGGAGCCTTCCCAGGTGGAAAGGGACTGAAAGCTCTGGTTTATGCAACAGTCAGGAGTGATGTGATGAGATGTGAGCAAGGGCTCAGAGACCAGGCTTTTGTTTTCACTCTTAGCTTGTTGCTGTTGTTCTGATCTAGGGAAAACTTCAATAGACTTTGGATTGTATACAAGGATAAAGCAGCATTCTCTGCATCACACTCGCTTTTGTCCTAGCAGTCCCTAAAAGACACCAGTGAATTCCCTGTGGTCTCTGGCAGCTCTGGATCCCTGGTCTAGAGTGCTTTTCCACACACAGACTCACTCACTGGAAGCTGGTCCTATAATTCTAAGTGCCATCTCCAGGCTGACAGTTCTGAATTATAGTCATTGCTTTTCTTCACAGCTCTGGCCACATGTATCTAACAGCTGCCATGACTTCTTGACTTCTGTGGCTAACAGGCACCTCCCACCTGTCTACACCAGTCACTAGCAGATGCTCCCTTCCCTTGTCTTCTAGCAATAATCTTACCACCAACTGAGCAGCCTGACCAAATCCCACAATGATCCTTCTTTGTTTGAGTTGGTTTCCTGCCAGAAGCAGACTTCATGACAGGAGACAGGTGAACAAATACTGAGTCCCCAGAGGCCTTAGCAGGAAGTGCCCACTGTCCTGAGGCCTCAAGGGACACACAGCAGCAAGTGTTCCCATGGCCAAGAGCCTCTTCTAAGAGCTATGGAATCCCTATCACAGGGAAACTCAGCAATCAAAAGGCACCAAGAACTGACTCAAAACTTGTGGATGGACCTCATGAGCACAAGGCAGAAGTCAGAGGTAAAAGCTTCCCTGTATTGACATCATTCCTGTGAAGTACCAGAAAAGACAGCTCTATGGAGAGAACATGTTAAAGTGGCTATGAAGTGTGGGGAAAAGGGGATGTGAATTTAGGATTAACCACAAAGGGACATGGAAGGCTTTTGGTTGTGATGGAAGAGGACGTTGGTAGTTCTACACTATTTGTAGAACTGCAAAATTGTAATGGATAATTTGTGGTAAATTATATCTCTATAAAGCACTTAAGAAAACAAAGGTGAGAGTCTACCATGAACAGTCAGGGTCAGACGTGGGGCGGGTGAAGGCCCAGCCCTCAGAGGTCTTGGGATCCTCACAAAATTCGCAAGTGCTAGGAGGAGCCCTGGAAGCAGCAGTGCTCAAGTGGACATGAGAGTGCAGGGCTGAGTCCTCAGTCCCAGTGAGCGCAGGGCCTTAAAGCATAGGATGCAGAAAGGATTCAGTCAGGCAGACCAGGAAAACAGCTGGGTAAGACAGTGTAGGCATAGCCACTCTGCTACAGAGAATCTCTAGGTGATTGATAAAGCCAGCTCGGGTGCCTTCACTGGCAACACACTTCCAGAACATGCCCTTGTTTCTGTCACCCTTGAGTCATTCCCAGATGACAATAAGCAATGTGGGATGAATCTTACTAAAAGGTCAACCAGGCAATGTGGGGCAGGGACACAGGTCTGGCACTGTATGGGCTCCCTGACCCTCACTGTGCCCATGACTGGGCCTTAACCCTGAGTGGCTCCTCTCCACTGACTGGGCTAAGGAGGAAGACTCCACATGAGGTTCCTGGCCCTGTCCCATATCCCCACGGCCCCCTCCAGTTGGGGTGAATCCTGTATCGTAGATGCTAAGAAACGTATATTGACCCCAGACAAAGAGGGTACAGATAGACCAAAGAAAGAATTCCAAGTCCAGCTTGGTGAACCAGTGAATTTACCGTGGTAATTTATAGGCGCATGAGTGACTCTTGGGCAGTGGCCACTGTGAGTCTAGCCTGCAGCTTGACTTAGGAACCAAGCTGTACCACAAAGCAGTCCCTGGCAACTTATGAGCAGTTACTACCCAAGAGCCCCAAGTCCCAGTCAACCCTCACCCAGCTCTCCATGTTGGCAGGCCTGATCTGCAGAGGGTCTTGTGTGGGGATCTCAGCTGCTCTGCTTCTGGAGGACACAGCTACACTGCACCATGTTGTAAACCCATAGAAGACTTACTCTGTTCCCTACCTGGGACAAGTAGACATTTGTTCCAGTCTCCTCAGGACTAGTGTCACACAATGGGCACAGCCCAACAGAGTAATTTACCAATGGATACGTAATGCCAATCTCCCCAAAATTCCTTCCAGAAATGACCAGGTAGTGTTACTTTTTTGCTTCTCTGGGAACTTTTTAAAGTAAACATAAAACCTCTGAAGAAACAGGTTTTTTTTTTTTAATGTAACAAGTGAATCTGCAAATATATTTTTAAATAGGCACATGGGACCAGCATAGGGATGCATCCTGAGGCTGACTCACTCATGGACACCCCTGACTCACTGGAAAACTACTCAGCCTCCACCTGATCAAGGAGCTGCCTGAGATGATGTGAAGAACAGGCTAAGAACTTGGGCTGAACTGGAAGGAAACCTGGCTGTGAGTGGGAGGTGACCTCGGGAGCCCTGGGGTCCTCTGCAGTCATTGAATGGAAGGGGACCTCAGTGGAACTAGGATCCTCTGCAACTAAACACAATGGTGCTGAAGCACAGGGGTGGAAGTCACACAAACACAAATTCATCTTCAGAACCTCCAGTGAGCTTCTAGGGAGGAAGCCTCGGGCTAGCTCTGGACCATAGACAAAGCTGAGCCTCCTGACACGGTCCTTACTATAAGGACCGTGGTTTCTAAACAGTTCAATATCACTCATACTTGGTGTTCCGAATCAGCATGCTATGTCAGCTCAGACCAGAGGATGCAGTGGTAGAGTGAGTGTTCATACACATGGTCAGCAGTCGGAAGAGTTGACTAGGTTTGATGTCTTAACAGTCACTGGGCCATACATTTTACAAGTGTAAAATTAATCCACATCTTCCTGCTATATACCCATCAAAATATCTAAGCATCATAGGTTCTGATAAACTTTGGGGGCTAACATAGAGCTCAACAGAGAACTTGGTACTTCAGAAGGTTGTATAAAACTGCTCGTGACTGGCAATGATTTCCTTGACTTTGGCAAGCACTGTCTTGGCTTCATCACTGTCTTACCTTGAGACTTGACCAGGGAACACACATTATTTCTAGTAAAGAAAGAAGAGAGCATCATGTTTGCAGCACGGTGACTGTTTATTAACTCGGAACTGAAATAGGTAGAAATGAGCTAACAATAATCAAGACTTTCCAGAGGGTGTCAGGCCCCCTTCCACTTCCTAGGTCAGGGTCACCAGAACGCAATGATGGGCTCTGAGGGCTGCGTGGCCGTGTTTTCAGTAACAAGGGCAACCTGCACTCAGCCATGCAGAGCCTGCACCCGTGTCTTAACCACTCCTAGCTCCTTCACAAGGCAGTGTCTAGCATAGAAAAGGGGGTTAAGATGTTAATATATTAAGCAATTAATTTATAGACATTTAATATTACAGATATCTTACAAAACAATTCTGTGATAATAAAAATTATTTCTGCAAACAAGACATGAACACAAATTAAGCACAGTACAAAAGTCTCTTAATTAGTATTTGTTAGCTGAGAGAAGGGGTGGTGGGAAGCCCCAGGCCTGCACTCCACAGCTTCCTAACAGAGTACACCCTAATTAAACTGCATGTATATTTTTAACACTGAAATCTTTTTTAAAAATTGAATCTTTCAATCATTCCTATTTCAAGGCCACCAAAACAAGTGCCACATTGTGGAATCTTTGTGATAAGTTCTTCAGAAACAAAGGCTATGCGGGGTGGCGCATTGTGTCCACTGGCTCATGGCGATTTCAAGGCACAAGGCCTTCTGCAGCACTTCCTTCATTCTCTGATAAAAACGTCAGCACTCAGCACCAGTCCAGGTTCACTCTTGGAAAGACAGGATGCTGACTCAACTACAGGTGTGGTCGGAGTCTCCAAGGATAAAGAGCTCTTGGGTGTGGTTACTATGACAATGTTGTTGCTAGGATAATTCCAAGGATCACAAGCAAAATAACTACACAAACAAGAATGAGCATCATCTTCTGCAAGATAAAGAGAAATATGAATTTACAATGTATCAGAAAAGGTAGCAACAGTGTCATTCCCCAAAGTTCTGCTGTAATTCCGCAGTCTAAACATTCAACCCTTATTAAGAAATGTTCCAGATGACAGAGAAGTAGAGAACAGGAATCCACAGAGCAAAGCATCCCTTTCTAGAAAACTGCCCAGTGGGTGATTCATTTAGTGTGAGTTAGCCATGTAGCTTCCCGAGAAAGGGAGGAGACCACATGGTCATCCCTGGACAGTGAAAACTGTCACTGGGCATCTTCAAATTTTTTTTTTTTTTTTTTTTTTTTTTTTTTTTTTTAGAGAGAGAGAGAGAGAGAGAGAGAGAGAGAGAGAGAGAGAGAATGTGTGGCACATATGCATTCAGTATACGCACATGTGTTTGAAGGTGTATGTACCTCTGCACACTTGGAGGCCAGAGGAGAGTGGCATGTGTTTTCTGCCTATTTTGAGGCAAGACCTCTGCTTGACCCTGGAGTTCACATTTTTCAGCTAGGCCATTTGGCTTTTTGAGACAGGGTCTCCCTGTAGCCCCAGCTGGCCTGGAACTCAGTATGCAGTATGTAGGCTGGCCTCAAACTCACAGAGATCCACCTGCCTCTGCCCCCCTGGATCCTACTGATCCTTGCTTGACATTTAATTGTGTAAGTATTGTAAGAAACCAGCAACACACTAACTCTGGCTTCTGTGGCCCCAGTGGCTAGACACAGGGCTCAATGCAGCATCCTGAGTCTTTGAAAGCTACATATCTTTCACTGAAGACATCTGATTTCCAGAAAACATGTCTGAGGGAGAGGAAGGAAGACAGGTGATAAGTATATATATGTTAGACCTTGGATTCAATCCTTAGCCCTGCAAAAACAAAAAAATGAACTCTTGTGTGCTGAGCCCAGGCAGCTCTGAGTGGAACTGCCTGCCACACATGGGGCACCTGAGCACCAGCACACAAAGCCAGTGATGGCACCAGTGCTGCTGAGGTGCGGAGACACCCAGCTCTAAGTCAGGGTTTGTGGAGAAGGTGACTCAAGGTGCAGGAGAAAACAGAGGGAATCAGCTGGAATCCAGGGAAAAGTGAGGCTTGTAATAGAGCAAAAACAAGGAGACTTTCCAGACTGACCATCATAGATAGTCAGAGTCCTATGGAATTAGCAGGCATGCTAGTTAAATAAGACTGATTTTCATTTTAACAAGGGTTTGCTTTTAAAGGAAGATGCTGCTGTGTAGGGAAGTGAGAGGGTTTGATTTTGTGGCCATTACCCATGGCTGTAGCTCCATTCTCTCAGTTTCACAGTGAATCAAGCAGTTAGTATATTTTACAAAGTAAATTTCAGTTGTTGCCATTATTCTAAAAGTTAAAATGTAAGATCTAAATTGCAACAATTATGTTAGTTTTTAATGGCCGACCAGCCGCTGTGGGTAGAGGGCAGAGGCCACCTTGTGGTGCAGAGCTGAGTGGCCTCCCAGCCTGAATTAGGAATGCAGAGTACACATACACACCACTAGACCTGACTCAAAGCACTCAGGACAGGCCCCTGCGACTTTTAAGTATATTAACACTGGGCAAACATACTACTTACTGACTGACTGAAAAGGTTAATAAGTAAATTAGTTGATTAGTCACTTACTGCCACCCTGGCGGAGAGGCAAGCACCCAGCGCCATCCATGCCATCATTTCCCAACCGACAAGCCAATGATTAGAGCCAGCACAGCAATGACAGCCACCAACACAGCAGCAATTATCCACTTTTTCTGTCAAAGAAAAGCAGGCTGATTACACTATGCTGATTGCACACTGCCATGGTCAAGGGCATCCTTCACTGGGAGCAAAGCCATCATCAGAACTCTTTTTAACTCTGTTACAGGCACTCCTGAAACCTGACCACAGTCTTTACTCCCCAGAGTGACTTAATCTATGAGGTCAGGCCTCTTAACAGTCAACCTGTTCTGTAACCCCAAAACACAAGGCTTCACCAGGGCAGAGCAGGAGCACACAACTCAGATAAATTTCTGATGGACTGAAACAGGATTAACATCTCTCCTGTGCAGGAGCCACAGAACCAGCCAGGAGCCTGGGATATTAGAGGCCTGCTGGGAAAGTGCTTCTGCTTCTCGTCGTGGGCCATGATGTCCTCTGCAGCCTCTAGGTGTTGCCAGAAGGCCTTTCATGCCCATGTGGTATTCTTAAGATTCAGACAAAAGTGTTATGACTTGTTGACAAGTGGATGTCAACAGGCGGCAACATGGGACCCGAACCCCCTCAAACTTCAGAGATGTTATGGGAGACACCCAAGTTAGCAGAATGCATCCAGAATTCTGCACCAGTAATGGCAATTCGAGAATTCCCTCGGACAGTCTGGGTGTGAGCCACAGGACTAAGCAGGGGGCCTTTGAGAGTTCCTTCCAGGTATGCTTTGCAAGACACTGGGCCCACCCATAGCCTGAGACTTAGCAAGTTACTCAAACAGAACAAATATCCCTCACATACCTGTCACCAATTTTTAGGAGACACCCTAGTCCCACTGACTTGTTCCTCCCTCCAGATGATGTCCCAGGGGACAGAGCTCAAAAAGGCAAATGTGTGCCAACTTGAGGTTGTAAAGGGTTTTAATCAATTGGAACATGAAATAGGATGCACAATGAATCAATAAACTTTTAAAATTTTAGTGAAAAGAATTATTTTGATTTTTAAAATGAAATATGTATTCAGGACATTTTTACTTGTGGGCTATTTTTCAGCAGGCTGGCATCACTGCATAGCTAGAGACCAAATGAAGAGAAAAGGCTAGCTCTCAGAAGCCCCACTCACCCTCCTGGCTTTGCTCTGGTATCTGATGGCCTTCTTGGTTTCTTCCTTGGCGTGTTCTACATAGTCTTCGGCATTCATCACGTTTTTCTCTATGTTGTTGATCATTTCACCCTTAAAAAAAAAAGTTTCAGTCTCAGAAAACTTTCTAATAACTCAGTCATGTCTCTTAAGACAGTATGTGAGGCTCTCACATGAGCCCAGCAGGTGGGGGATGGAGACTGAATTTTCTCACATTTACAGACAGGTGTGGGTGAAGCTAGTACAGATGTGCCAATACAAAGCAATCAAATTCAGTTTGCTTTAAGAGGAGCTGAAGGGGATGGAACAGATGAAAGTGACCTCAAGTATAAGCTTCTCACAGATGAGCAGTGAAGGGACGTAGCAAGCTTGGGTCAGTATTATGTTTTACTGCCATGTAAAACATTTCACACACAAAGGATGATGTTATTTCTAACAGAAAATTGCTGTTTTTTTAAAAAATATCAGCAAACTAGGCACAGCTTCCAGGTGACACTGAACTGATGAACATGAATGGAAACAGAGAGGACTCCCATGGTGTGTTAGGAAGAAACGTTACCTGGGTCCTGTCTGGAAGGAGACAGAGTCTGCCGCAGCCAATAGCAAAGCATTGGAGAAGGATGGACAGGTAACTTATTCACAAACAAACTTGCTAGTAAATCCTGACTGTGCATATCTGAATTATCAATGTAACACAGTAACAGACTTCCAAACGGAACTGGGAAATCAAGGCTGCAAATGGAGGCTGGTCTAATGATGCTTCGTGCTACATATTGGTCATGGAATCACTGACCAAAGCCTTTATGAAACCTTTGTGATTACAAAATCAATCTACTGCTCTCACCTCTGAAATTTCTTGTAAAGTCACCAGATTCCCAACACCAAGTGACACTGGTCCACCCCAGACCAAAGAGCACATGTGCCCATCTCTGCCATCTGTACCCATCAATACCCATCCCTGGGTTTCCTCCCTGTTAGTACCCATCCCTGCCAATCAGTATCCATCTCTACCATTGCTGCCTGTCAATGCCCAACCTGCCTCCACACAGTTGTTAGTATCTTCTACAAGTACATATTTTTATGATAAGGTTCTACAAAATAAATATTGTTCTTTACAAGACTGTCAGGGCACATGGGAATGAATTTTGTCTGTGAATGGATACTCTAATCCTGTTACATATGCAGGCAATCACAGAGCATCACCAACTATCAGCCTTCCTGGAGGCATCCTCCAGCCAAAGTACCCTGGCAGCAACAGCCTTGGGAGGAAGAAGAAGCAATCTGCCCAGGATAGATGGAGAGGAACTAAAGTTTTGTCTCACCAGGAGGCTGGCTGCATGCTATCCTGAGGGATCTGAAAGCCCTGGGAAGACTGGTTCAGTCTCCAACAGATCCCACTGTAAACAGCTAGGCACTGACACATCACTATCCATGCCCACACTCAGCTTTATGTCTTTAATTTCATGAACTCTCCACCTCTCTCAGGGGTCCTCCCTGCCTGAGCTGTAGGGCAGGTGGGAACATCACAGAGTGAGTACAACCTCTGGTCAGTGTCATGGATGGTACCTGTGAGGTTACTCTTTAGGCATCATCTTGGTCCTTCCTGTAATATGTTTCCTTGTGGGAAATAGCACCAAGAGAGACTGGCACCCAACAGTTGATTGTCTACAGGCTGCCTGGCATACCTCCTTCCTCTGTGAACACTGTTTTATGTAAGCTGAATTCATATGTATGCATATGTATGCATAAGGTTTTGGTATATCCTTTTATTTTAACCTAAAATTCTACTGCAAATGTTTGAGCATTTTATTAAATATTCTCCATGAACAAACAATTCATGTTGCCTACAGCTGACTACCAACACAAGTTGGCCTATGAACCCACCACAGTTCATTTAATTAAACCAGTCCCCTACTGTTGAAGTTTAAGTTCAGTATTACACTTAATTCTTGAAATTAATTCTTGAATTCTGAGACTGGACCCAAATCATGATTTTCCTGGCCAGAGTGGCCTCCAATGTAAGACTCCATGACTGGCCTCTATCTGCAAAAGACAGCTCAATTACCTGAGTCTCGACAAACATAGCCATGTCCATAAACATTTCGTGCAGCTCTCGGATGCTGGTCTCTAGCTTCATGATATCTTTGTGGCGTGACTCGATCTCGTTGAGAGCTTGCCTAGTAATCTGTGAGTCTGAGATGATCTTTGAAAGACAAAGTAAAAGGGCATTACTAAGTTTGGATTGCCTTGGAAGTTAAAGAGAAAAATGCCCATCTGTAAGTATGTACATGCAGCTGTCACACTCACATCTGAGGTGAAGATGGACGGCTTCCCGCTCTCCAGCATCTCCTCCAGCTCATCATCAGTGGTAGTCCTCCCAGCTGAGGGACAAGGGGAACTGCACTCAGGACACAGGCAAGCTCAACAGCCAAGGCTGGTCAACTAAGGGCACCACTAAGCTCTAACTGAGCCATTAACGCCTCAGTTGTTTCCTGCCCTTTCTAGGGCAGAAAAGAACCTACGAGGAGCAGGAGGGGTTCTGACAGCAGTGGCTGGTATGGACACAAACCCCAGCCTGGTGTCACAGAGAAACAGCTGTGAAAAGGCATCAGTCTGAGGCCTTGGCACCTTGGCTACAGGTTCACAACTGGCTTCTGGCCAAAGGGAGTTAAGCTAAAGGTGGCATGTGACAAGTGAATAACAGAAAAGAGGGAAATTATCTCCCAACCAGACAGGAGGAGCTTCAGGACATAAAAATCTTGAAGAAAAAGTGACCAAAAGTTTCTCAAATTTGAATAAAACTCTAAAAGTACCAGCAATGAGATGGAGACAGCTCAGCAGTTAATAACATTGGCTGCTCTTGCAGAGGACCTGGGTTCAGTTTCCAGAACCTACACAGTAGCTAACAACAATCTGTAACTCCAATTCCAGAGGATCTGACACCCTCTTCTGTCGTCCATGGCCACTTCATACATGTGGTGTATTTACATACATGCAGGCAAAACACTTAGAAACATAAAATAAAA